GACGTTCGTCACTCACTCGCTCACTCAGTGGTCTCCGTGACCAGAATGGGCATTTATCTATCGGGGAATGGGTGACACATACACTACACCTCGGCTTCCCTCAGATCCCTTCCTGTGTTTTTTCTGCTCCCTTTTGATGTGGTGATGGTTCCTGTTGGTTGGCATTGCATTGGTCGTTGTCGTGTTGCGGTTGGCTGGCCGGGTGACTGACTGGCCGCCTGACCTGATCGATGCTCCCTCTCTCTGTGTGTCTGCTGCATTGCATGTGTCGTATTGGTCAGCCATGCAAAGCCATCTGACACAAACGGGACACGCCCCTTACTTGGCCACTTTGGCCATTCGTAAACTATCCCATATAAGTTTCGAGGAAGAGAACCACCCGAACCACCTGAAAGGAGAGGATCATGCTGGGACACGGGACTCTTCCGCATTATATTCATTCTCCTTGTCCCGGCCCTCCCAGTCTGTTCAGTTGTTCCCTAAGTCCCTCCATCCCCCTCTCTCTGTTCAATCGCAAGACAACTTCGTGACACAAGATGAAGGACATCGAGTCAGGCGTCAAGGTGCGAGAGCGCGCGGCTTCCGAGACCACCGACAAAGGCCTGGCACACGGCCACCACAAGTTCCCCGTCGTGGCCGTTGTGGCGCTCGCCGCCATTGCTGTGGCCGTGGCTGGACTGGTCGTGGGAGCCGTTGCCCTGCAGAAAGCCGTCTTCAAGGAGACTGCCACGGACGGCGTGGTGAGTGGAGTGCATGGCAGATCTATCGAATACAGACAGGGAGGGGGAGGAGGGCAAGGTGTGTGTCGATGACTGTCTGTCTGTCTGGTTGTGTGTGTTTGGTGTGTGCAGATGGTGCACATGACGGCCGGAGCGGACGATCAGCATCGAGTCCTGCAGGCTTTGTGCATGGCCAACCGCATGGTAAGCACATGAAAGAGCCGCTGTGCAAAATTGAGCGTATGTGTGTGTGTGTGTGTGTGTGTGTGCAGGTCGACGCGGGCAAGGACGTGATTGTCTTCTGCGATGTCGACTGCCCCCCGCTGATGGCCAAGACTGCCGAGGACTTCACTGTCGAGGAGGCCCCTTGTGTGGCCGACACATCCAAGAGTGGTCTAATTGACAAGCTGGTGGCCAGGGGGGTGCCGATCTCTGTGTGCCCGGGGTGCGTCGCCAAACACGGCCTCTCGATGGAGGACCTCAGAGACGGTGTTGACGAGGTGACCAGCCACACACACACACACACACACACACACAGACGGGAGGGAGGGAGGGAGGAGTGCATCATCGATGACACACGCGTGTGTGTGTGTGTGCAGCACGACGCCAACGAGTTCTTCGCGTTCACGGAAGGGCGGATGCTCCATTTCGACTACTGACTGATTGCACAGCCCAGCCAGCCGCGTGTGTTGCGTTGGGTGGCTCTCTTTCTTCTATGCGTGTCAGTCGTGTGAGCCACCCTCTCTCCCTCCCACACAGCGTTTCTAATGTGCTCTTTTTGGTGTCTGTCTGTCTGCGTGTGTGTGCCTATACGGATGGCCGGCCATTGTGGCGCGGCGCGTGTGGATATGGGGTGGGTGCGTCAGTCACTCACTCAGCCAGGGGTGCACTGCGGCACAGGGGCGTGTGCGACCGAGTGACAGCTTCCTTTGTCCATCGCCCATTCGCAGAGGGGCTGTGTGCTTGGGCGATGGACGGCATGTGACACGTGTGTGTGTGTGTGTGTGTGTGTGCCCTTTATCGTATGCGCGTTGTGTGTATCCTTGCTCTTTTTATACTTATATGTATGTGGATTACATCACCTGTCATGGCGCTTCATGTGGGTCTGTGGCTGCCATGCTATGCGTGTGGCGCGTTTTCCGTCCGCAGGACAGATCGACGGATGGGCCACTTTGTGTGGTGTGGGTGTGGGTGTGGTGTGTTGTGTGCCCATGCGGTCGTGTGCATGCTGCAAGGATGGATGGATGGATGGATTGGATTGCTCGGTGAGAGTGAGTGGGTGCATGATGGACAATACGATTGCTGTACATATGAAACCATTCGAACTCCCGCAGCGCCACACCCCACACATTCATGCCACCAGGCGGCCAGACCACCAAAACAACCAAATACGGCTCTGCATGCCTGCCCATCGATGGTGAATGCAATATGTCAATGTATTGTGTGACTGGTCGGCTCGACAACAGAAGAGAGAGAGAAAGGGCATTGAAGTCTGTTTGATTGAAACCGTCCATAAGGATTTCGCTTTGCGTGAATCGAGCCATCCTTGGAGCCATCCATCCGTCCAGCAAGACAAACACATCGCATACACACGGATGAGTCGTTCCACACAAGGACCACCGACAGCAGCAAGGAACACATTGGCGCCAACACGCCATTGCAGCTCACATGCAGCACACCCTTTGCTATACATCGCACTTCTCTCTTCCATACTACGTCTTGTTTGCTTGGATGTCTCTCGTTGATCATGCCATGAGGGTCACGCCGTTCTTGCAGTCGCGGGGCGTGGTAGCGGCAGTCGACGAGCCCGACACACACGAGGCCTTGGAGTACTGCACCACAGCCTTGGCGCCAACCTGAACCAAAAGAACACATCAACAAAGAATGCATTGCAAAACGACACATTTATGGCCACCGCATCCACGCCCCGCCTGTGTGGATGTACCTGGCTGATGTCCGTGTCGATATCCTTGATCTCCTTGACCTTCTTGCCATCCTCACCGTTGCATGCGCAGCCGTCCTTCTCGGCACCGTTCGTCGCCGTCACCTTCACCAGCAGGGCATTGCGGCGCTTCATGATGGTAGATCCGGCTATGGGGCCCAGCGTGATGTCGGTGCGGTGCAGCGACGGGTTGAGCCGCGAGTACGTGGGGATGTGGGGCGTCAGCGGACTCGCACACTCAGCCGCCATCGGTGCTGTGGGTAGCTGTGGGGCGAATGCAGAGCCAGACAGATGGGAACCAACGTAAGTCGATAGGAGGGAGCGAAAGCAGCGAAAAGGGACACAATTGAACCGCGAGAATGTCGAGCCCCACTGGCACTTCGTCGCCTTTTTGTCTCGACTTTCAAGCTCGCGCGAATCTCCTGTCCGCAGATCTTCTGTTACCGTGCTGTTCTCGACACCTGTGGAATCCAATCGGTGCCTTTCACGAAATGTTCATGTCTTTCACGTGCAGGAGGTGACGGCCAAGTTGGCCGTTGAGCAATGCAGTGGACGCATCGTTCTAAGCGAGAGGTGTGATGGATTGGTTTTGGATCAAAATTGAGACACTCATGCAGACAGACACAGATGAATCAAACGGTCCAGCCGCCCATGCACACCAGTCCATCCAAGCAGCACATAAGTCGGTCTGTCGATTTGTGTGTGAGGCCATACATGTCTGCCGCTGGTGTCGTCGCACTGGCTCCTCCTCTTCTCACTCACTCAGCCCGACTTCACCTGCAGAGCACGCAGACATCCATAGATTCATGCGTGTCGGTCGTGTCTCTGCCTTCCCCACCCACCCCACCTACTCACGTGATAGATGGCGATCTCCTTTGCATTGCAGTACCAGTCTCCCGCCAGTGTGCCGTCGCCGTTGTCGTGTGTCACTCCCAGGTAGCTCGCCGGCAGGTCCTCCTTCGCCACCCACTGATACATGCTGCGCACGTCATCCGCGGGGCCTGGGCTGCCGTCGCAGAGCCACAGATACCCACAGCCAATGGCCATCTGCACACAGGAACAGCCGTGTCCTGTTCGTGCTGCTTTGTTCTTCGCTTTGCCCCTCATCAACCCACCTTGCCGCGCTTGTTCGCATTGCCGACCTTGATGGATGCGTCGCGGCCGGCCACCATCACCTTCTGTCTGGCCGTGGGGATGGGCACCTTGGTTGGCGGAGAGTACGCACCGCTGATCGAGATGAGGAAGTGCGGCACCCTGTATCCATTGGTCTGTGTGGGGTCGGCGGGCGGCTTGAGTTGGCCGTCGACAAAGACGCCGAATCGGTATGTGTCGTTGTGGTTGATGAGGAACAGCAGACCGCTCGCATCGCCCACCTTGTCCACCATCGTGCCGAAGTCACCACCGTCACGCGTCGAACTGACAGAGAGCAAAGAGAACGGGGTGAGAGTGACACTGCGAGAGATCATATGGCTGTCTCTGCTTACCTGTAGAGGAGTTTGGTCGAGGGGTTGGGTATCTTGGTAGCACCTCCTGCGTCTCCTCGAAGGTGAGGAAGGGGGCCGGGGGCCGATGGATGTCCTCCATCTTGAGGCCATACATCTCAACATCCTTCTGCACACACACACAGACACACACACACACAGGTTGAGTGCATGGCCGCCTTGATGAAGTCATGTGTGAACAGATAAGCCATACCTTCAGCTGAGCGATGTACCTGGGCTTGGCCGAGGGCTTCTTGACCAGGGCACCGGGCCGCTTCTCTTGTCGAAGGCGGCGAGCAAAGTCCACCACCTGAATGGCCGCCAGAAGGACTTGCAGTGTGCCCTCCTCTCTCTCTCTCTCTCTCTCTCTCTCTCGTGTGTGTGTTGTGGTTGTGTGTCACCTTCGTGAAGTGCTCAACGGATGTCTGGCGGATGGGTACGTCGCCCTGCACAATCTCACTACTGCACACCACACGCACAAATGAGGAAAGAACACAACGCGTCCACACAATGGCAGTGTATGTGTGTGTCGTGGGTGCCTTCTCACCTGAACCGTTTGTAGAGGAGGTTGTCGGTGCCGAGCTGCGATAGCGTCGCGTCGGTGGTCGACACTCTCTTGCGCAGGACGGTCACGGTCTTCACCTCGTGGGCGCTGCCGTCCTCTGCTCGGAGAAATGGCCCCATCGCCTTGCCGAACTCCTCCAACTCCCCCGCCGCGCCCTTGAGCTCTGCCACTGCCCTCTTATAGCCCTCCACGTATTTACTGATCTTATCCATCACGCCGCCCTCCCCGCCGCCATCCCCTGCCCCCTCCCCAGCGGCCCGCACCTTATTGCCCCCCTCCTTGTTGCCCTCCGCCGCCCCTCTGGTGTCCATGTGTGTGTTGTCGGACGGCGTGTCGATCTCGAGAGTGGTCTGGGTGAGGAACAGCTCCTGGTGGAAGGAATAGCTGGGGTCCTCCTTCTGTGTGTCGTCCAACTCGATCTCGTGCTCCTCGCCCTGGGCGTCAGCACCCTCAACCAAAGCCATCTCGTCAGACAACCTGACGAGGCTCAGCGCCAAGGAGAGCAAAGGCAAAGCGCAATGAACACAACACAAACAGACCCGCATTCTTCTTCAACCCACCACTTGACGTAGCTGCTGTCAGCGTCGAGGAAGGGCCGGCCCTCCTCATCGCGCGGCAGGGCGTCCACACAGTACAGCAGCAGATGGGCGAAGTAGGTGCGACGGAGCTGATCCAGCATCAGCCCCTTCCGGGACACACCCACCACCCGGCCGCCCACATTGACCTCCACCTCCCCATCGATGCCGCCCGTCAGCTCCAACTTGCCGCCCGTGCTCTCAATCAGCACTTTGATGGCCTCGGCTTTGGTCTGCAGCTGCTGACGGGCAGTCCGGGCGGCGTTCTCGATGGCGAGCAGGGCGGCATTGGCTTTGTGCAGCGATCTGTCAAAGGAATGGCGGCCAGTGCGAGGGGCAGGGTGGGGCTGAGCATCCGATGGCTGGCCGCCAGCCGCGGCGGCAGCGCCACCCTCCAACATTCTCTCTGAACAGGCGATCCACATTGTAAACGATTGGGCTTGGTGACTGGGAGATGGGCGAGGAGGGCACGGAGCTTCGGCCCCTGCTGCCGGAGGAGGCTGGCAGATCGCAGCGTGAGGAGATCCGGGACCTGCGCGCCACCAAACTCAACAACAAGGACATAGGTACGCACGGCGGATTGGATGACCGTGCCGAGGCCACGTGCAGCCCCTCCCTCTCTCTCTCTCTCTTGTGTGGAATGGATGGATTCTGTTGCGCTTTGTCAGAAAACTTGGATGAGAACTCTATCGAGCGCTATGACGTGAGCAATGACGCACCATGGATGGATGGATGGTTGGATGGATGTGGATGGATGTGTGGTTGCGTTGATTCGTGCCCTCAGATTTGTTTTGTGTTCCCCGGCACCGCGGACAAACAGTTCGCGAAGACCAAGGACGAGCCGATGGACGCCGAGGAAGCCCACAAAGCATTCACCAAAGCATTCTGCTACAAATACTCGGAGAAGGGCCCGAGCCCGGTATGGCCAGCCGACACACCACACACACACACACACGGAAACGGAAGCATTTCGCCGCAGAATGATGAGTGGGAGAAGTTCTATGAGAAGCCGGCGGACCCGAACGAATGGCAGAGTAACACAACATAACACGCACGGCGCGCATGCGTCCATACTGTGTGTTGTGTGTCTGACAAACGTGCGGCTGTCACAGGCATGGGGCTGACCAAGGGCAAGTTCCAGGTTGGTTTGTGATGCCACACGCACCGTGTCCGCACTGGTCTTATGTCCGTCTGTCTGCGTGTGTTGTGTGTGTAGGAGGAGATCCGCAGGGCTGTGGGTCGGACGTTTCTCAAGCTGGGCATGGAAGTGTACTGCTTCCGCGCAGAGGACGATGAGGAAACCTTCATCAAAGTACACACACCACACACCACGCCACACACGCGGAGAGGGGTCGCGGGTGCACGCGTCCGTGCACATGTGTGTGTGGTGTGTGTATGTGTGTCTGCAGGTGCGTTTGCCGGACGAGATTGGTAAGTTGGTGGCGGACCTGAACGAGTACCCCCTGCAATTCGACGCTCACGTCACCGAACTGTCCACCACATTCAGGTAAAGGCCCGCGGCACACCCATCCCGCACACCACCCATTCATCGCCCTTCATTGATCGCCCAGCGCCGACCCGAAGTTGTACGACTACACGCCGCCGTACTATGCGTATGACGAGGACGCCGAGGACCCCTCGAGGCAGTGGCCGTCCCTCGACAACAAAACCGACGGAAAGGTCAGCCACGCACACACACACTCGCACACACAATCGGTCCGGCGCGCATGCAACACGGAGGGCTCATGTGTGTGTGTGTGTGTGTATGTGTGTGTGCAGGTCTGGATGCGTTACGATTTGCTGAGTCACCGCATCATGCCCAAGCTCAAGGACAAAACCGCCAACGTGTGGACTGCCAACCCGGCATACGACACGAAAGCAAGAGATGTATCCCTGTTCAGGTCCGTCAAGGCATGACCAACCAACACATACACACAACCACATCGAGGCATGAGCTGCCTACGCGTGTTGTGCTGTCGTCATATGTGTTCAGGGCGGTCGACCGCGTCCGTCTGCTGACCATCGTGTTGCAGCAGTACATCAAAGTGGGCGAACTCATCAACCAGGTCCATGTGTGTATGTAGACACACACACATGGATGCCCTCATTCATGTCTCCCCTCCATCCCTCCCTCCCTCCCTCACGCACACAGAAGGCGTTGTTTGCCGAGATGTATCTGCACCAGGCGGCCAACCTGCAGCCGCTCGCCGACGAGTGGTACGCACACACATGGACTGACGCCACACGTAGACCCACACGCTCTTTCTGCACGTGATTCGTGTAACAGGGCAACTTTGAAGAAGTGGTACTCGTTCGAGCAGCCCATCGACAAGATCCGAGACTACTTCGGTCGGCAGCGCGTGCATGGCCGCACACCCATAGACGCGGGAGCCGATGCATGTTGTGCGCGTGTGGCGTGTTGTGTGTGTAGGAGAAGAGTTGGCGTTCTACTTCGCGTGGCTGGGGGAGTACACCAAGCTCCTCAGGTGGCCCTCGCTCATCGGTAACAAGGCATTCCTTCATTGTGCAGGAGAGGACACCACACACACTGCATGTCATCTCATGTGATGTGTGTGGTTATGTGTGTGTCAGGCACGTTTGTGTTTGCGTACACGTGGTGGGCCGACCCCAACGGACACTTCGCCTCCATCTCGTGAGCCGAGTCGAGTCGCGTACCGTTCCATCCACCACCACTGCACTGCAGCCATGACATGTGATCGATGTGCGTACGCCGTTGACCGTGTCATGTCAGGGCGAACATAGCGTGCATCATCTTCTGCTTCTACATGTGCCTCTGGTCCACATCCTTCCTGGAGATCTGGAACAGACACGGTCAGTCGATAGTGACACACAGACGCCAACACGAAGAGAGGCCAATCCCTTTGTGTTGGTGTCTGTGTGTCTCGCATGACAACGGCAGAGTGCAAGTGGCGTTTCGTGTGGGGCATGGACAACTACTCCAAGATCGCCCTCGAGCGGGCAGAGTATGTGGTACGTCCGTCATCCAGCGAGAAGGGGAAGGCACCGACACACATGCACCGACACACCTGTGGCTCTCCCTCTCTCCCTCTGTGTGCGGGTGTGACACAGTGGACGGAGGAGAAGGAATCGCGGCACAACCCGCGCGTGAAGGAAAAACGATATCCGTTCTGGATGAAAACGGTCGGTGGGCCGAGACACAATTGACGTTAGAGACACATGAGGCACGGGTGTGTGTTTGGTTTTGTGTGATCGATCTATCAGCTGCGGATGTTGTGTTCCAGTTCGGTGACGGTGACGTTCATCATGTCGGTCCTCGTCTGTGTGGTCGGCATATTCTCATTCAGATACTACATGAAGCAACACCAAGGCACGCACACACGCAATTGACCCACACCCACACCGACGCACCCACACAGAGGCACACACATGCCCATGCCTTTCCTGACTCCTTTGTTGCTTCAGAGCTGTTCGGCTGGGCGGGCAAGCACGGCGCACAAGTGGCGGCCATCGTAACGAGACACACACACACACCCCACATACTCAGCCACGCGCACCTGTATCCGCCTGATCATATGTGTGTGTGTGTGTGGTCATGCAGGTGAACAGTGTGCAGATCAAGATATTCGACCTGATATGGTCCAAGGCGGCTCGGAGCCTCACCTACCTGGAGAACCACCGGTTGGTTCAGGAACACGAAGACTCGCTCATCATCAAAATGTTCCTCTTCAAATTCATCAACGGTACACAGACACACACGCGTATACACGCACACATAAGTCAGTGATGGATGGATGTGTGTGTGGATGTGTGTGTGGGTGCATCGTGCGCAGTGTTCAACACGTTCTTCTATCTGGCGTTCTTCAAGGAGGCCGTCGACCCCTGCCAGCCCATATACCTGCACAGGCATCCACACACAAACACAGCAAACACACCCGGCACGGCACAGCCAGACTCCTCTCTCCCTCTCTCCCTCTCTCCCTCGCTCTCTCTGTGTGTCATGTGATGCCATTGTCCATCAGCTGCATGTACCAGCTGCGCATTCAGGTGGGCACCATCTTCATCGTCCAGCTCTTTCTCGGATTCATGGAAATCGGCGCACCGTACGCAATCAACCAAGGAGACACCAAAGACTCCTCTCGAGCCACGTGCATGCCATGCCGTGAGTGTGCTTCATTTGCAGGATGGTCAAGTACTGGTGGAACCTGCGCAAGGAGAAGGGCAAGCTCACATACACCGAGAAACAATTCAGACGCGTACGTCACACTATCCCACGCCAACAAGAGACACACACATAGGCCAACGGGTGATGTGTGTGTGGCGACGGCATAGGACCCTCACCCCGGAACGTTGGAGGAGTTCATGGAGCTAGTGCTGCAGTTTGGGTTCGTCACGCTCTTCCCCGTGGCACTGCCGCTCGTGCCGCTGCTCGCACTCTTCTCAAACCTTTTCGAGGTCACACACACACAGGGATGGATGGATGGATGGATGGGCGGATTTCGCACACTCATTGTCTGTGTGTGTTGTCTGTGTGTCCATATGCAGATCCGCACCGACGCCATGAAGATGGTGTATGCGCTGCAGCGACCATTCCCAATCGGCGCGGACGGAATCGGTACAGACTGACATAGAGAGGGAGAGGGAGAGACAGAGACAGTGGCGATGTGTCTCCGTCTGCATGTTCTGTAGGTGCGTGGAAGGGCATTTTGCAGTGCGTGACGGTCATGTCAGTGATGGTCAACGTGGGCCTGGTGTGCTTCTCGATGCAAATATCAAACACACTCGACTGGTTCTGGAAAGTGCTCATCTTCCTCATACTCGAGGTAACCTCCCACAGATCTGCCCCTCCACCCCACCCCACCCCCCAGCACACACACACACACCCATCCCTTTGTCTCTCTGTATGCGTGTGTGTCGATCAGCACATCATCTTCGGGTTCAAGGCGTTGGTCATGTACGTCATCCCGGACGAGCCCGAGAGCGTCACCATCGGCCGGGCCAGGGAGAAGGAGATCATCAAGGAGGCCATCTCCGGCAAGGAATCGGACAGGGAGCTGGAACACCACAAGATCGAGGTCCGTGGGGGGGTGGATGGATGGATGGATGGGCCGGTCAGTCAGACATCAAACAGAGGGCCTTGTATGTGGATGTGTGTGACGCGGTTGGTGTGTGTGTGTGGCTGCAGGATATCGATGGGCGCCTGAGGGAGAAAGACAACGATAGTCCTAGATACTGCCCAGAACCAGGCAGCCCATGAACGAATGAACCAACATACATACGGGGGCGGTAGTGAGTGCCTTAGATGGATGGGATGGATGGATGGATGTGTGTGTCCAGTGGAGTGGAGTGCCTGTGTGTTGACGGCTGAATGCAAGTTTGTGTGCGCTGATTGACTGCCTCGCATGTGTGTGTCGATTTTTCCGGACGAGTGGCTGCGTGGCTGGCTGGCAGGCAGGCTGTGTGTGGGTGGGGGCATCTGGTGGTGGACATTCACAACTGAAGATGAAGCGGATCCATTCAGAGAATCAAAGGCTGCTGGAGTCAGGCAGGCCATGTTACACACATAAGGAACACACCTAGCTACATCGACCACGTCAGTGTCGGTCGCACCATGCAGCCGATCGAGGGAAAGAGAATATTAAGGACCAACAAACCCTCAGTGAATTGAAACCCCACCAAGCAACACTCCCGGCGCTCGTCGATCTGGCTCATGCGATGGATGCTTCACTTCACTTGACTTCGGTCATTTGTTTGAGTTGTGCGATGGGCTGAATGGTGATGCTCCACTTGTCCTCCTCGAAGAGACCCAGCTGGATGGGCTTGTTGTCGTACTTGCGGCCCATCATACCTGGTAGGACACACACACAGCCATCCGTCCCGCCATCAGCGCAGCACTTGTATTGCTGTGTGTGTGCGTGTGTGCTGACTCTCTCACCCTGGATGGCGGCAAGGACGTGGATGGGCGACTCGTACTCAATGTACACGTCACCCGCGTCAATGTAGTCAGGCAGCGACATCTGCCACACACACAGAGACGGGCACACACAGGCATCAGTGTGTGAGACGCCTGTGTCGTGTCGGCCTTAACTAACCTTGTCTCTTGGTGTGACGATGAAGGCCGACACGACCTTGCCAAACGGCTCGGCGCCCTTCTTCATGTCATCGAGCACGTCGTTCCACTCCTCAGGATCCTGGCACACACCAACACAGGGAGCACAGGGAGAACAGAGCACATGACGAGTCAGTCAGTCATGTATTGGGCGCGTTAATTGTGCATCTCTGTCTTACTTCGACATCGTCGGCGTTGATGACCTGTTTGATCTTGAGGATCCGCGAGTTGGTCTGGGGGGGCGGGGCACCCTTATCACACACACACCCAACACACAGGCATCAGTGTGTGTGAGACTTCTCTGAGGCCAAGAGTGTTTGTGCGCGTCGGTCGGTCGGTCTTACAGGTGGCGGAGGCGGCTGGTTGGCTTGCACTGCACCACCACCACAGACACGGCACAAGGGTGACCATCTATCTCTTTGTGTGCGTGTGTGGGTGTCACTTACTTTGCAGCAGGCGAGCAGACTCCTGGCCCATCTGGCCCATCACCCTGCAGCCAGCCACAGAGAGCCAACCAATTGACCAAAGTGCACGCCTGTGAGTTAGTGTGGATGCCTACTGGCTCTGCTGTACGGTGGCCTGGCTGTAGTCATTGGGCCGCGACACCTTGATGGGGCTGCCCAGGCAGTTGAACTGATCCAGCGTCATCGCGCGCACCGTCTCCTCCACTGTCGCTGCACACAACGCACACAACACACACAACACACCAACACGTGATTGATATGCAGCCCGGTGTGTTGAGGATTCTGCCTGGCTGTCTGTCTGTCTGTCTATGAGTGGTCACCATCAGTCCTATCGAACCGTTAGAGAGATTCGTTTCATCCACCGTGCGTCAAACGAACGAGATATATATCTTCTTTCATCCTGGTGACCCGACCTCGGCCTGCCTGTCTGCCTGCCTGCCTGCCTGCCTCAAGGCCCTTCCTCTCTGACTCACCGAATTCGATGAAGCCGTAGCTGCCCTTCTCCCGTGCGAACCACACACACAGCACGGGATCTGCACACACCACACGCATCCCGTGGCACACAGACAGAGAAGATATAGATCTAAGGTGCGTGCACTTAAGGCAGGCGTCCGTGTGTGTTTATGTACTGGTGTTCGGGTCGTTGCATATGCCGCGCTCCCTCATCTCCTTGTACATGATCTCCTGAAGCGCACAGACAACATACACACACACACATGGACGAGAAGCGGCCTTGTTCGTTCTTCTCAATGCTACATGCATGGGGGGATGGTCACCTGGAACTGTGTCTCCGTCAGACCAAGATGCAAGGGAAGATTGCCTGAGGGCGAAACACGTACCACCACACCGCACCCACCCAGGTCTGGTTGTTGCCAACTGTCTGTCTGTGTGTGCGTCCATCTGACTTACCGACATAGAGCCGCCTGGCTTTCCTGGTGTTGTTGAGCTGCGTGGCGTTCATTGGCACGCCCAGCGTCTTGTCGTTGGTGCTCGACACCTGCACACACACGGTTCTCTCGCTGTGTTGTGATTGTTGCCAGACAGACTGACTGACCGTGACCCATTGGAATCCGTCCCAGAAGAGCTTGACGGGCGTCCTGCCCTCACTCGACGCCAACTTGTCCACCCCACCAGCTCTCGCTATCGCACTGATAACATGACACGCACACACACACACACACACGCGCACAGAACTAGGTGATGGGACGGTGACGTGCCGGTGTGTGGATGGTGCACTTACGCTGACTGTGCCTTCCGCCTGCGCCTCTCGCGCTCACGAGATCTGATGGATGGCCCCAGCGACAAACACAGGCACATGGAGGCGTCCTCATATTATTTTGAGACGGTAGCCATTCTTCGTTTCTACCTTTCGCGTGAGGAAGACACGTCACGGTCGTCCCTGAAGGAAACAGAAAGACCGGACCGAATGAATGAATGCATAGCTGCCTGCCTCATGGCACACGCAGCACGTTGTGCGACTGTGTGACAAAGACTCGACTCGCTTACTCTTTCTTGCCCCTGTCCTTGTCCCTGTCCCTGTCGCGGTCTCTGTAAGAGTCCCGGCCATATCCTCCATATCCTCCACCTCTTCCCCCCCTCTCGCCGCCGCGACCCCCGTAGACGTAGCCTCTATCCTTGTCGCCATAGTTTCTCTCACCCCGGCTGTCACGATCACGGTCACGATAACCTTGATGCCCACCGCGCCTGCCGCTGATCATCATAATGACACCCAAACCCGCACACACCCAGATGTGAGTCCGCTCAGCGGCTGTGGTTCGCATGAAGGGAACACTCATGCAGTGCGTCGTCCGCCTGTGCTGTGGATGTGCGCCACGCTTGCTGCTGCTGCCTTTGTCTCCCTTCCATGTGCTGATCTCACCTGTTTCTCGGAGATCGAGATCTGGACCTGCCCATTCCCAATACTCTCTGCTGCAAGCTCCCTCTCCACAAGAATGCTCTATTTTCTGCTCCTTTCCTGACCGAGCTCCAGCAGCACCGGTTTCATGGAACACCCTACCTCCGTGTCTGCGAGCTTGGCTCAGAAGATGCAGCAGTCATTCCCAGATCCAGACACAGCGACAAGGCGGCGCAGGATGAGCTGCCCGAAGGTCAGCCTTTTGTCCCTTGTCGTGGCTTTCCTGACGTTTTTCGGCGAGGAAAGCACGGCATTTGTTCAGCCTCTGCAACCTGGCGATGCCGCAGAAGGCAGCGACAGGACCCTAGGCGCGTGGAGGAGGCGGCCGACCACAGATCTCCATCTGCCGGCTGCAAGTCAGGAGGTAAACCACACACATACATCTCTGTCTGGTCTGCTCAGAGATGCGCTGTGTTGTGTGTGTGTGTGTGCCGTACGCAGACGGTCTTGTGATCGCCGAGCTGGAGGCCGACGAGTGCACACCACTGATGAGTTTCGAAGGCATGGTCGGCCTGCTGTTGAAGTGCCCGCAAAGAAGATATCCGGTAGGTTAGGGGTGAAGTACAGAGACGTGTGACGTGACGACAACCACATTGCCCACACGTCTGTGGTGTGTTTTGGGGGGTGCATGGAATACAGGTGAGGAGGAGGCTGTGTCTGGCCTGTCCGGGTTGATTTTCGACCACAATGTCAAAGGCATTTGGAGCCAGTTCGAGCCATTCGAAGGCGTCGTGTCGGCGAAGATCTCTGCCGACGCACAGGGGCATAAGGAGGCTCTCGAGGCCCTCATGGAGCCGCTCGTCACACCCGAGTAAGACGAACAGACAGAGAGAGAATGCCACCGACGCGTCTCTGTCTGTCTGTCATTGTGGTCTGTCTCTTCCTGCAGGTACAAGCCTTACAGCGAGTGGACAATGGCACAGAAAGTGCAGCTGGTCCAGGAGTTCTATGGCCTCGCTTTGGCTATTGCCCGGGCGGGAAGCGAGCTGGGCATCTTCGACGTTAGTCACGAAACGAATTCTACAATCTGATAGACGAGATCTTCCCCACCTCCTTGGCGAGTGCCTGAGCGATGCTGCGCTGCGATCAAGTGACGGCGCTGCGATCAAGTGACGGTTGACTGCTCTGGTGATGGCCTGTGAGTGGAAGGAATGGATATGCACGTGTGTGTGGACTGGCTGCATGGACTGGTTGGTGCATGTGTGTGCGTGCGGATACTGACTGCATGCGTAACCTTTATCTGCCTCAAGGGCGGAAGCACGCAGTCGTTGGTTTTGCGTCGGCTTTTCCTGCGTACACCAGCTGCCAGCTGCCAGCTGGGTTTTATTTCACGCCGGCTGGATGTCGGGTGTGGCATTGGGGGGGAGGCTCTGGCTCGGGCGCGGCGCTGTGAGAACTGGACTTGACGTCTGTCGTGTGTCTGTGTGGGTCCGTATGGGCCAGCTTGCTGCTGACCTGCAGACCAAGCACTCCATCCCATCTATCCCCACGCTTTATACAGTACGTGTACCCGTTGCTTGGCGTGTTGGCCCCAGTCTTTCCAGTTGTGTGGCGGCATTTTCGGTGGGTTGCCTTGCCAGTCAGTCAGTCTCTATAAGCATGTCACAGCGTGTGCATGACTGGGTGGTTTCTCTGACTTTGCGAGGCTGCTCAGCCGCTGCTGTGCACTGTGCGTGGCGTGCACATTTTGAGTTTTTGAGCGCACCGAAGCCGGCTGGCTGCTTGGCCGGCATATCGTGTGTTGACATGACATCTAGCGCGAGTGGATACCCGTGGTTTTTCTCTCTGCGTGTGTGTGGGTGAGAACGTTCACGGGACTCCTACCTACAACAGCGTCGTTGAGATGAATTCACACACTTAGAGGGCTGATGGCACAGGTACAACTGCATACGCTCCCCATGTACACCGCCCCGACGGGGACTCAATGAGTCGTTCACACATTAGCTGGTCACGACAGATTTGTGCACAGCACATCCAAGCCCCCCACCTATCGACTGCCCTCTCATTCCTGGGCTGTCGGTCGGTCGGTCGGTCGGTCGGTTGGGACGGCTGGTCGTCTCTGTTTCGTTGTCGCGACCACACAGGCAGGCCCAGGGGCCAATCCTCTCATAAAGGGACCTCGATCGCCTTGGGAGCCGCGCTGTCGCCCTCGTCGAGTCTCGAGTAGGAATTGCCGCACGTCACAGAAGCCGTGCGTCGCCAACTCGTCAGAAATTAATCCTGACACACACGCACACACACACACGCGCACATCAGTGCTGCTGTGAGGGCATCCATCATAGACCTTGTCGTGCTCACCTGGCTGCCTCTGTCTGGCGCACGGAAGTATCCCCCCTCCCTCGCTCCCTCCGGTTGCTCTTCCCTCTCTCGGTGGCCACCCCGGTCAGTCGGTGCCCCAGGCCAAATCTGTCACTCAGCGGTGAGGCTGCAGCTGTCTGAGTCGTGCTGGCGGTTGGGAGGGGGGCGGTGGTCTGGGGAGCCATTACGGCCTTCGCCATCAGCTCGGGGTAAAGAGGGAAACTGAGGTCGGCTGGCGATGCTGTGGACGACTCAGCCAGAGCATTGCGGGATGGTGAAGTCGCTTGGTCGTCACGGGGCGAGCAGAGACCTGCTGACGGCAACAGACACACACACACAGTCGGACAGACTGACAGACAGACAGACAAATGGATCACGATGCACGCGCTCCTTGTCTCGCCTATTACCGGCCTCTCCCTTGTTTCTGAATGTGTAATGCTGTCGCTCCATCTCCCGCCTGTGTGCGATGGCGGCCTTCTTGGCGCCCTCGTAGCCATGCCGCCTCACCGAGAATGCCTTTTTCTTCTCGATGCCGCTTTCACGCCAGCTGGCCTGCCATAAGTTGTTGCACTTGTTGAAGCTGACGCCTTTGACGCCGCTTTGATGCTCCGGGTCAAACCGCCTTCTCACCACCGCCCGTCCGGTGAGCTCCATCGTACGACGGTGCTGCTCGGCCAACGCCTGCACAACACACACACACACACACACGAGAGACCTACAGAGACGGAGAGATTGGGGTGATAAACGGCGCCACGCGCACCTTGGCCTTGTCGAAGCCATGTTTACTAGCGCTGAAGAACTTGTGTTTCCGCCTCTTGTCGCCCTTCTCGTACCATGAGGCTGCCCACGATCGGCTCAACGCCTGCCAACAGGCCCCTGGTACGTCCGACGTGTGCTCGGGGACACGCTTGGTGACGACCGTCTTGTTCGTCTCGCACATTGGTCGTCCTTTATGGTGCGAGTCATTTTGTGGTAGCTCTGTGCGCTGCCTCTTCGGAGAGCGGCTGCCGTCCAGCGATGGGTCTCGGCCATTGCAGGGGTTGACAGGGGGGCTGCTTGGCAGATGGCGCTTCGGAGGATCAGCCAATCCTGAATGGCACACAGGCGGACAGCCGAGACGATGGGTGAAGTGGTGCATCCTGGCTGAGCCATCTGGGTGTCCATTACCCTGGTCCTGGACATCACGCCGGTCAGACGCTACACACACATCTGATCAGCAGACACACAGGCAGGTCAATCATGCCCTTCCTTGCCCTGTGTTCTCTCCTCTAACCCGTCGGCCTCCACCGAATGGCTCTCGTCTGCTGGCCGGCCACCGTCAGTGTGGCGATCTCATACAGACCGCCACTATGAGGATCAGTCGCACGCACACCCTCCAGCAGCTTCGTCAGCATGATGTCCTCCTCCACCCTGCGGGCGCCTTCGATGTCAGCGGCCGACGTTGCGGCTGGCTGCCCACCAGCCCTGGTCTCATGAGGCCCCGTGCCGCCGTCTGTTGTGTCGGTCTCCTCCTGGGGGCCGCTGTGGTCATCCACAGCGCCCTGACGATGGCGCTCGGCAGGAGGGATCGCCATGAGACTGCCACGCTGCTCGTCGTAGTAGTAGTGCAATCGCTCCATCTCCCGCCTGTGTGCGATGGCCGCCATCTTGGCGCCCTCGAAGCCATGCCGCCTCACCGAGAATGATTTTCCTTTGTGGATACCGCTCTCCTGCCAGTTGGCCTGCCATGCGTTGTTTACCTTGTGGAAGCTGACGCCTGTGACACCGCTTTGATGCTCCGACAGCGGTCCCGTGGGGACGGTCGCGGGGCGACTGCCGATGGCAATCGGGCGGTAAGCTGCTATCCCGCCGCCAGGTGAAGGCCAAGGCGACACCACCACGTCCATCGCCCGTCGATGTGCGGTGGCGGCGGTCAGCGGCATCGATGGGTACTGTGGTGCGACGCCATAGCCAGGGACGCCAGCAGGATAACAAAGGGCCGGGAGGCTGGGAGGCCGCAAGGGGATGTGGGATGCAGGATGGCCTACCCCAACAGGGCCGCTCACACCTACTCGTGTGGCCGACACCGATAGCGGATGACAGCCGGGTGTGAGTGGCGATGAGTGCCCATAGTGGCCCATCATGCCGCCTTGGAAAGGGCCCAGAGAGAAGGGCTGCTGCTGATCAACAGTGGCCGCTCCATCAGCTGCGCCGCCACGATGAATGCCCGATGCTGGTGCTGTCGCCGGGAGAGAGGGAGCATATGGGGCTGCAAAGGGGGAAGCCGCAGCACGGCGTGCAGGCACCAAGTCAGCTTGACTCATCCAACCAACGAACCATCGTCAAGGGCCGCGGTAGACGCAGCTCATCTGGATCTTGCTGCAGATAGTCAGGATCTGCCATTGCCGTGATAATGAAGTGGCGGATGTGCCATGAGCACTGGTCCTGCCTTTGTCTCCCTTCCATGTGTGCTGAGCTGATCTCACCATCGAGATCTGGACCTGCCCATCTGCCAATACTCTCTGCTGCAAGCTGCCTGCACCACAGAAGGGTGCTCTGGTTTCGACGGCTGGAGCGAGCTCGACGCCTGCGAGCTTAGCTCAGAACCCTCTCCGATGGCCATCTGTCGGTAGATGAGAGTGGCTGTGGAGGATCGCTGTCGTTGCCCGTTAAGGCAACAGATGAGCCAGAGGGACGGTTCACGAGAAGGAGGGACAGTTCGGAGTGCTCAGGGTTCTCAGCATGCAGTGGCATTACACGG